TACCTCAATGTTTTGTTTTGTTCTATTGTATTGTGTTTTGTTGTGTTCTGATATACGAGCTGCTATGACGACTTAATTTCCCTCCGTGGATGAATAAAGTAATCTATCTATCTATCTATCTACTGTGGAAACTTCTAGTGATTACGTTTGCACCCGATCAGATTCATCACTATGTGTAATTGATTATATAAAATAATTGAGTAGCTTATTTATGATCATAGAACCTGCGGAAAAACTAACAACGCATACACACACACAGACTCCGCTGCTTGCTTTCTCTCCGTGTGTCTCTCTCTCAGCTGACTCGCAACAGTTTAAACGTTGATCTGTTTAAAATCACAAGATCAACACTGATCATCACATAATGATCAAGACTTTTCTTCAATAAGTTAAATCTTTCTTCAGAGGAGCGCATGCATTCATTAACCGTCCCGCTTGCTCTTTTCCTCCCTCCCTCTCTCGTGATCGGACACATGTGTAAACTCAATCTGGGTTAAAACAACATAATCTGTAAAATTAGTAAATGTATATAGCTGAAGGAGATGGCGGCGCTCTTGGTTTCACTTGACGCGTTTGGCGCAGTGAATGGCGCAAAAAATGTATATAGAGACTTAGAGAGGAGCAGATAACTGACAGATCCACTAAAAACTGTAAATAATCCTTAAAATGTATGAAAAGACCCACAATTAACACTGTAGGTTGACTGAGTGGAGCTCTGCATGGCTCCCTGGTGTCTGCCCCGGACTTAGTGGCACTGCGGCTGGGCTGTGCGCCTTCTCCCGGCTGTGAAACTGTCCTTGGCCCCTTTGTCCGTAGCCAGAGACTGTTTATATATCGCAAGTCATATCGTCATCGTGATATTAAACAACATTATCACATGTTTTCCTAATATTGTGCAGCCCTACTAGAAAGCCACTAACTTCTAAATCTTGGAATATCATTTGAACTTGTCATTTTAGCATCACATAAATATCTCAGTTGCTGTATTCCTTAGGCTCATCATACACTGTCTCATTTAGACGTGTGTGATGGTAGACTGCTTACAATGTGTGAACAAGGTTTGAGACATAAAGTTACATTTTTTAAAGGGCATGCATTTCTTATGAAACTTCATGTGATTCTTCCTTTCTTCTCATTTGTGTTGTATTGATTGCATCTCACTGCCATCCACTGAATGTTACATTTAATTACTCTCTAGGCCCAGGCCCAGTTTGGTCAGACTACAACCCCAATGCCGGCCATCTCTGACGGAACCAACCAGCCTCAGCTTGCTACTACTGGGATGCCAGGATCAAGTGAGTGTGATAAGCAGTTTCAAAAGCTTTTATATAGTATTTTATCTCTCTATTATGTGGAAAATGTGTTTACACAAGTGAAAAACAATCTTTGAAGCAGAAATGCCTCCACCTGTACCTGCTCTCCCCAATATTATTTTGTATTCCACTTCTTGTTCGGAAATAGTGTGACTGTGTGGGGGGACTGCGGTTGTTCCCTGAACACGAACAGATCTCAAGTGTTGGGGGCGGATGAAGATGTGTGGAGTGAGAGGACTGGGGTGGGAGGTGCAGTTATGCCCTCCCCCCTTATTGGCTATGATTTCTCACTCTTTCCTTCTGTGACTTTCTGTTTCTGTCTCACCCGTTGTGTTTTGGCTGAGGATATTGTGTTTAGAGATTGTATGAAAGTGGGCCTGAACTGCAGTAAGCTTTACTCAGACGGAAGAAAAGAGATAGACAAATGAGGCACCCACAAAAGATAAAGTGTGTAAAAGAGAGATTAGAGAAGAGAAACTTTCAGCTTATTTTCAATCACATCCCCCAATTTTCTAAATCTCCAGCTCATTCTGCTTCTCTTTTCTCTGTTTGGATGCAGAGTCCTGTGGGCTTTTGGTCTTTTGTTTTTATCTTAGCAGTGACCAGAAGTAACCATGGAGACTGGCTCTGGCAGTTGTGCTAGGACAGGGCATGATGGGAGACAGAGAGAGAAGGAGGAGTTGATTTGAAAAAGATAGAGGAGGGAGGGGGCGGGGGCAGTAGCTTGCTCGAGGGGTAAAGGAAGAGTTTGTTCTCTTGGTGGTGAGGAAAGAAAGAGACAGGGAGGTGAAAGGAGATGGCCTGGTTCACATCCGTGCTGGACCACAGCCCACTCTGTTCCATCTTCTCAGATGTCCAATCCCTGCACACAAGGCAATGACAGTCCAGACTGATTGGGGCTCTCCCATGGTGGAACCAGGTACCAAAAGCTATCAGAGCATGTCCGTCCCTCTTATCTTCAAGAACCTTTGAAGTCTCACTTATTCCAAGAGCAGCTCTTCTCCAGCTCTTCTCACTAAACACCCTAACAAGTTAACTAATTAAAGCCCCTGTTCCACTGCTCAAAAAAATGCACTCACATCTGGCTGCATTTGTTTGCAATGGGAATGAATACATTCAGCATTCAATTCCGGGTCAAATGATCATGCAGATTTTTAGTGACGGAAACATGACATCCAGGTGAATGCGCAGGACCAGGGCAAACTCCTTTTCTTTAGTTTATTGCCGTATTTTTTAGTGGGTTAAGATGCGTTAAAAATAACCTGTGTCTACCCACCAAATTTGGTGTAAAAGAGGTACACCACTACACTACAACAGATTTTTCACTCAGTACAGTACATCAAGGTTTACTGCTGTACTGAAGCTTTTGTGTTGTCCGTCACTTTGGATAAAAGCATCCACCAAATGAGTCAATCTAAATTGATTCACTTAGTCTGTAAATAGTGATCACTGAACATAAATGGGCTTAGTAACATGGTCTTTCTTCTGCCTGCCAAGGTTTTCTTTTATCATTCTCGTTTCATCTGCATTTTCAAAGCTGAAAGATCATTTCATTCACGATTTTACTCTTCCTTAAAGCATTAATAGGACACATTTGCCTGGTAAAGCAACATTTATAATCAGCTAGTAGAGATATTAATCCAGGCCCAGATTTACTGACTAATTATGAAGTATATGTTTGAGTTCAAGGGCTGTTTCCCACACACTGTTGTTAAAGATAGCAGAAAAGGGACAGATAAGGCTAAACTGTAAGAACAGGGCAAATGTATAGCTTTGAATAAAAGCCATTTGTTTTATTCGGTGTGCTTGGATGTGGTGTAGGCATGTGTGGGAGAGGTGAATGAAAGAAAAGGTGATGAAACAGCAAAGCGCAGAAATCTAAATGCGGAAAAAAGAGTAGGGGTAGGCCATGAGAAATGACAAGGCCTTTTCTGTTTTTATGAAATAAATAACAAATATTCAGTAGTACATGGTGAGTCATGATCTGACTGATCATTTGCACTTTTTGTGTTTAGCTAACATGTCGCTCCTTTCCTGTTTTGTACTATGACCAGAGCTTTTTCCTTCTGATCACATGGGTGTGGTTCATTTGTGGCTGATGTGTCTGACTTAAACCATGTTGACCTTAGAGTTGATGCTATCTTGCAAAATCATTGCACAGTCATTGCTGTTGAAACAAAGCTGTCTCTTTCTTACCAAAAGGTAAAATAATTTTCTCTCCTTCTCCACCTTCTCCCTCTTTTCCTACCAACCAACCGTCTCTCACTCTCCATCTCTCCCACCTGTTTGTCCTATCTCCATCTGCTCTTCTCCTCCTTTCACCCTCCAGGCTTGTACCCAAATCTGGAGGAACTGGGTGACTACATGGGCCTTGCTCTCAACAGTGATGAAGTACAGAGGAACCTGGCCCTCATGCCTGTGGCTGACAATGTAAGTGTTTGTTGTGTGGTCCTATTTTTTTTGGTGTTTCTGCTGCCTCCAAGTGGCCATTGTTTTGTAAATAGAAGGCACCATGAGCTGTAGATGTATCCAGGCACAGCAGTACTGGGTTCCTGGTGATCTACATTACTGAATGACTCACCATAGCCCTGGAGCAGTGTGTGGGAGTGTGTGAGCTCTTCACTCTGCTCCAATTGAGTGTATGTATGTGTGTGTGTGTGTGGATCCTGCACATGTCAAGGCTCTTGCAGCACCCGAGCTTGTCAGATGGCATTTCTGTGTTCTCAGCCTTTTATTCGTGTCTTCACCTCTGCCATTATTTTTCTTTTTTTAACATATGTTTTTATTTCTTCATTGTTAGTGCATAGCATATTAATGATGGAGTTTTCAAAAGCAGTGCCTGAAGCATTCCTGACCCCATTCACTGGTGGAGAAGGAGATGACATTGAATCCTCCCACACACCTCTATTTGATGCAGCATTCCATTTTATCTCTGAATTTTAATGTTAATCTTCAAACCTTTTCTTCCTGTCATCTCTCCATTTCTTCCTGTCACCTCTCCCAAACCCCCCACCTCTTCACACTTTCTCACCCTCCTTCCTGTCTGGCCTTCGTTTTTTGACTCCTCAGCAAATGGCTGTGCCCTCCAGCTCAGGTGCTGGGGACGCGATGTGGCCTGTGACTGGGTCAGACCTTGGCATAAAGAGGTCAATGATCCGCCTTGGGCTGCGGGAGATTATACTGTGTAAGGACCAGGATAAGAAGGTGGGACTTCGGCTCCGCTCCATCGACAACGTGAGTCAGCGTCACGTCCTCTTTAAAAGGGACCTGCATTGTTGTTAAAGTCCAATTCACAAACCACACCGCCTCTTCCACTCTCTCATATTATATTCCATATTCCATATACATCCCATATATGTTCAGGATAAAGTAGGGGTGTAACGGTAAATGTATCTGAACCGATACACACGTGTACTGAACGAGTGCTGCGAGTCCAACTATGGACATTATTTGTGTGTGTACAGGAACCAGCAACTCTGGTGTTTTTGTAGGAGCGGACATGCAATCGTTCTCTGTTGTTTAGAATGCAGGGTTCAAACACACACTGAAAGTAATCAAGCCTGGTTATGAAATTCCCTCTTGTCTTCATTTCAACGTGTCATATCATACCAACCCTTTTTAAACCACTGTCCTTAGCGAGATAGTGTTCTCCACAGTGTAGACATTGTTATTGCCAGCAGGGCATCAAACCCTCTCTTCAAACAATGTGGTAATAGTTAATTATTTTTGAAATTAAGAAAAAACATATATTTAACAATGAGAATTATTAATTACAATAACGATGCACTTTTTAAGGGATACTTCATCGAAAAAAGGAAGATTCCCTCATTATCTACTCACCATTATGCCGATGGAGGGGTGGTTGAAGTGTTTGAGTCCACAAAGCACTTTAGGAGTTTCAGCGCCTCCGAGGAGGCTATCGGAGGACATTTAGGCTTAAAACATTCAGCTGCAACGCTGTTTCCCCCGAGACTCCTAAAGTGTTTTGTGGACTCAAACACTTCCCCTACCCCTCCATACCAAACAATCACTGATTTTTTACACAATGCAAAATATTCTTCAGATAACAAAGCAACCAAAGAAGAAACAACATCGCTCTAGTCAAGTAAAACAGTAACCTGAGCCTTCTTTTGATGTTTTGCATCATTCACTTCAGTCGTTGATTGTTTTAAATCATCTAGAACTTCTTCTTTCTCTTATTTTTCATGAATATTTAACGTCTTCTTTCCTGTGTCCCCCTTCCACTGGAGTCAGTGATTTTCTCTCCACTGTCAGTGTCTGTCTTCTGTCTCTTCCCCTCCCCTCTTACATTCCCTGGAGCCATGTTCACTGTTTTATCTGTTTCCTCTTTCCTCTCACAGGGAGTGTTTATCCAGCTGGTGCAGGCTAATTCCCCTGCAGCCCTGGCTGGTCTGCGTTTTGGGGACCAGGTCCTTCAGATCAACGGAAAGAACTGTGCTGGCTGGAGTGCAGACAAGGCCCACAAGGCCCTGAAGGCTGCATCTGAGACACGCATGGAGCTTGTGGTCAGGGACAGGTGTGTGAGTCTTTGATTCATTGATTAGTCTTCCTCTTTCTTTCTTTCGGTCGTTATAAGTATACACATACACTGCTCTAAAAAATTAAGGGAACACTTACATCACACATCAACAATGATTTATTCAAGTTCAAAAATGTATTGATGTAGATTCTATAATTAGTTGAGAACAAAACCATTAACCATTAACCAAAATCATACTGAAAATCAAAGACAAAAAACTGAAATCACAGGTTGATCCAAGTTGCGTGACTTTTATCACCGGCGCCCCAAGGGCTGCGTACGTGTCATGTCAGCACAGTGTAGTTAACAAATAATCTCCATTTCTCCAACGTAAAAAGAAAACATTCAAACATGACATTACATGTGCATAAAAACTGCGTAAAAACATTTCTTTATGTATTTATATATTTAACCTAGACCCCATCTGTCTGTTTCCTATGAGTCTCACAGTATTCTGTAGCGGCTTCAATGTTTGGCTCCCTCTGGTGGTTCCTCCATCATTTCCTCTTTTCTACTCAGCTCATGTTTATTTACTTTTTTTTTCTCTCTTTCTTTATCCTGCATTTTCTCAGCTATTTTTTCTTTTTTCTTTGGTTATACATTTATAAATGTACAGACATTCTGTCAAAGAGTCTTATTGTTACTCTTTGTATCAAAGCTTTATACCTGTAGATCCCTAATTCTTTCTCTGTGTTTGTTTGTTTATCTCTATGTCTGTAGGCCATACCAGCGCACTATCACCATGCAAAAAGACAGCTCAGGTCATGTGGGCTTCATTTACAAATCTGGTAAAATCACCTCACTGGTCAAGGATGGCTCTGCAGCCCGCAATGGTCTGCTTACTGGGCATTTCATCTGTGAAATCAATGGACAGAATGTTATTGGACTCAAGGTAAAACAAATTGTTTCTATGCATATGAGCCTTTGCATCTAATAGTTTGATCAGTGAAAGCTAATATTTGGGTATGAAATAATGTGTTTGATGTGATCTGCATTTGAGAAGAGAAAAATGATTCATTATAATGATTCTCACAAGATGTTTGGTGGCTGATTTTAAGTTTGCACTGGGATGGCTGCTTCTATAAAAGCAGAATGTAATAAAACGTGGGCAAGTGCAGTGATTTAAAGTAAGTGCAGCAATCACCAACTCCCAAGTCTCATCAATGTTTACGTAGCAGTTTGCTATAGGCATGTCATTTTGTTTGCCCTGTGATTAGATCTTAGTCTCAACTTTACATTGTGATTCTATAGTTTTTCTCCTTTGCATTGATGCATTCGATGATCACAACACCACGCAGTTCTCTTTTCCTTTCATACAACAAAAGGAAACATGTTGTGCAGATTACACCAGAGGCTTCTGTCTGAAGGAGTCTCTATGTTGGTTCATTCACTGTGTGACAAGCTACCAAGGTTCAAAACCTTAGATTCCATCATCAGAATGAGAAAGGACAGAGACTCAGCAGATCTCAGTCACCTGGGGTTTACCAAAAAAACAGAGGGGAAAAAAAGTAGAGAAAGTGGTTCAGATATTTGACTGACTAGATGAAAGTTGGGCAAATCTTTGATAAACAACAAATTGTTTTGGGATGGTTTGAGGTTTTTTGAGACTGTAGTGCATCACTTGAGAAAAGACAGATTTTGGAAAATGTAATGCAACAGGAATTTCATGTCAGATCACAATTGTACAAAAACGAAAATGTAAGTATCATGGGTCCAGACTCTGCTATTTTGAGCTGGTGATAGGTCATTTGGAGATGCAGCTGTCAATCATGTTTTATATGATCAAATATCCAAGAAAAACCAACTTATCAAACCAGACTTATCAGGTGTTTCTGACCTATACTATAGCCAGCCACCAGGGGGCAAGCCATGTTTTGGCTTCACTTTTCTGTCCTTCATCTTTATACATATATTCACTGGGTCATACATACACACTATCTCAAAGCTTGTAATGAGCTCACACACAGCATTTCTATCTAAGGAGCAGGTAGATGTGGATGACGTTCAATGACCTGCTGTAAATGATACAAGTATTTAGCAGTTAAAAAAGAAAACAAATTGGAATCAGGCAGGCCTGAAATACTTCATTCCAATTAGTTTTCTTTTTTAACTCCACTATCAGACAAGAGGTTTGAACTGATTAGTTTTTTCGCTTTTTTATACCAGTGTGGTTTATTTTCTATCAACACATTGGAGAAAAACTAAAGTAAATGTCTTTCACAAAACCTTTGTTTTTAATTTCATTTATTCAAATAAATGTGAACGTTTTTTTTTTGGGTTTTAATTAAAAATTATGTCACTGTGTGTAAATTCCAGGATTCTCAGATCAAGGACATTCTGACCACCTCTCCGACCACCATGACCATCACCATCATGCCCTCGTTCATCTATGAACACATGATTAAAAGGTGAGACAGCAGTTAACCTGATCTAGTGTAATAAGCTCATCAGTCATGTAGTCAATTCATGTCAGTGAGTAAGAGATGATCCAGTTACAGTTCAGTTTGGCCTTCGCTCAGCTCTAAGTCTGTTGTGAGTCCACAGATGAACCTGGTATTCTGGTTCCCCATGTTACACCCTCTCTTTTCACTTGAGGTCTAGTGATTAACCTTAAATAGTAAAAAGGTATCTGGTAAAAAATAAGAGGATGAAGAAATTGGCAAACTTACATCTTTCTTGTAGCAATAGAAAAATAAATGAAGCTTTGAGAGTTGAACACTTTTTCAACAGTATATACTTAGTACTTTTTAAGATACACCTTTTCACTGTTAACTACCTACTTATTAGCATATATATTCTAAACCCAGTGGCTCTTTATTAGTCATATTTTTTACAACCCGCGGGCCACTTTTCCTTAAATATCCCTAATTATTGCTTAGTAAGCTGAGTGACATCACCAGAACTGTCCAGTTCACGTGTTATTTGTCTGTGTCGTCATTTGCAATATGTTTTAATTTTATAAGTGTGATTTTGTTTTCCAGGATGTCCACTAGTCTCCTGCAGTCATCCATGGATCACTCTGTCCCAGAGGTGTGAAGACCAGGACAACTGTAAACTGTCAGGATGTCTACTATACAGATCTCTCTCTCTATCTCTCTCTCTCTCTCTTTTTTTTTTTTAAATTCACATCTACCCGTTGCTCTCTGTCTTCATACCAAAATGAGCTCCTGTGTCACAATCACCTTCTTCATCTTTTCTCTTTCTTAACAAAAGCATAAAATTGCCTTTTTTACTCTTTGGTTGTTCATTTGATTCTTTTACCTTTACCACATTCACCTTACCCCTGTTGATATTTTTACTTTTTATATGTATTAACCTTGTAGTCTGATTATTACATGTTTATTTTTTCCCTTATTTTGTATTTGAGATTGAGGACAGTACAAAAAGTCTTTTGACGTCATGCACATGATCATGAGTCCAGAGCTTCCTCCTCAGCGTCGAGATGAATCATTGGCAAAAGACGTTTTTCACTTTGTCAAAATGCTGTAGAAGCCAGTGGTCAGTCATCAAAAAGCTACAGGACCACATAGATCACGGCTGCACCCTCCGTCCCATCACTTGGCCCCTAAATGTGTATAGGTTACATATCTAATCACAGCTGAACTAACACCCGGGGCCTCATGTGAAAACTTGGTTGACTCCGTGATAGATCCCAGTGGACAGTTGTTTTTACTTGGCCAGTTAATACTAACAGATTTTAACAAATTCGTCGATTTTACTTTAGATCATATAATGGTGAATATAAGCGTTGATTTTTGGCACCGAGATCATGTTATGATTATTTTGTTCCTTCTTGTTGACGCCTTACATTTATAGACCCTAGATTCTAACATTTACAGTAAGTGAGAGATACAATGTGGGAATTTCCAGCTCCTCCCTGAGATGGCGATGAATCATTGCATCACATTTACTGTCTCTGTGGGTAAATGTTACAATGAGACTGATGTGTTCGGCGTGTCGGTACTGGGAACGGCTCGTGCACATTCCAGGGCAAAGTGTAGGGAGGTGGGCAGCAGTACATGTTTGTTGTCCTAAGCAGTTTGGACTAGGCCCTGTCCATAAACACACGAGCAGCACAGTCAGACCAGATCCTGGTGCAGTGTGCGGGTGTTCATCTTGTGTTATTTTCAAGGGAGTCTTTGGTATTTGTTTGGACAGGGTCCGCGCTGGGCAGACCCACTAAGTGCACTTTCCGCTACCTTTTAAGAGGTTGTATTTCCTGTATCCATTTCAAGTTCAATGGCCGTGTTCATGGTGAATTCATGAAAACAAACTGTACAAAAGATTTGATGCTGAAAAATCATCTGCTCAGTTTAAATTACTTGATTAGATTACTGATGAGCACATTGAGACTGAGCAGAGCTTGTAGTTATGAATTTCTACTTGTTATATATAGAGTTGCTCCTTTAAATGCTCTTCATGCATGCATTTCCTTTAATTTTCTAGGTATGTTATCTGATAAACATTACTGTCATTCTGTAAAAAAATAAGTTTATATACGAATGTAACCAAGATAATATTGTAAAACAAATAAAAAATCTTTCTGTTCACATTAACTGGGTGGTATTTGTCTTCACCCTTCATCTCATGTATATTTACAAGTAACACAACACCGTCACAATATCAAGCAAAAATAAACATCCACGGACAAAGACACAGATGAAGACAACAAACATTTCCTCCATGCTGTTTAATATAGGGGCTTCTGCTCTTTCTTTACACAGTGTGGTGGGAGTGTGAATGGAGAAGTAGTCTACTGATGTATTTTACTGTACACACTACTATTGCCATTAAAATAGTTCATTTACAATACGTTATCTGTAGATACTAATGATATCAGCTGATTGACTAAACAAGGCATTGGATGCCCTCAATGGCAGGATGTTAAAAGACTGGATATAAACTGTATACATTAATTTTCATTACATAGTCTATGGAACACATATTCAGACAATTGGACAAGAAATGAAGCATAAAAGGAAATTACATGTTAAATATTGGCAATAACAAAAAAAGGCAAACTCCCCTCCCACCTCCTCCTGTCGTCCTGAAGAAATATTCAGCATCATGTATGTCTAAGGATATACGTAGTATATAATCAACCAGTCACTGCCTCACATCGTACACTGACAACACCTCACACTAGCAGGAAGTTCAGGTGTATTATGGGACAGAGAGGGGTCACTGTAGAGGTACAGTGAGGGACAGCCGCACGGCTTACCCTACGTTACAATGATGTTTAGATAAAGTGCTGTACAGTCAAGATTGAGTGGAGGAAACTTTTAATGCATCAATGAACTGATCGATCAGTCACATCCGGACAAGTCTGAAGCCTCTGCAGGGACTCCAACATTTGACATTACTGGACTGAATCCCAAAGAAGAACAATGCAGGTCATGGTGTTTGAATGTTTATCAGCTAAATGTAGGAGATTTAAGATGCGACTGTCACCAAACCCTATTAGCTCGAGTAAGTGAATCCATACAGGTTTAAAACTGGCCTCTCTAAACAGTGTTAGAAAGTCCAGCACAGGTTAAACATATTCAATCAAAAGACACCAAGCTAATGAATACAAAGTCCCCAAAGTCCCATTAAAAAAAGATTTAGTGTTTACAGGATAATGTTCACTTGTTACCATCTTAAAGGCACAGTGTGTAGAATTTTGTGATATCCAGTGTTGAAGTTGCATGTTGCAGCTGAACACCCCTCACCTCACCCTCTCCATCCAAACATGAAAAAGAACCTGTGGTAGCTTCAGTTGTCATAAAAACTCAAAAGGTGTTTAGTTTGTCCAGTCTGGACTAATGTAAAAAACATGGCGGCCTCTGTAGAGAGGACCCCCTCGATGTAAATATAAAGTATTTAAATATAAAGGGTCTTTTCTGGGGTAAAGAAAACTACAATTCATACATTTTAGATGAAATGAACTAGTGAAAACATCAGGAGGATTATTCTACATTAAATTTCTGCCAATAGTTCCCTTTCACCTAAATCTTACACACTGGACCTTTAAATGGACACAACAATAAATTGGTAAAAAATTCATGATAAGCAACATCCATGATTACCTTCTGCACAAAAAAAACATTAGCATTATTAAAGAGATTTGATTATAACCTGTGTGTTACTTATGTGTATATGGTCCATCGTGTGTGGAAGATACACACAAGATATTAACTAATGTGCACAAGATGCGTGGTAAGAACAAAATAACTGGTGCAAAAATGATAATACGTGCAAAAAAGCTCAATCTCTCTGCTACATAATATATATATATATAATTTATAATCTTGTGAGACAAGGGTCTCATGCAAACTAGTTACATATTGTGCACCAATTACTCCATGTACAAGATCCATTAGAAATGCTAGATCCAAAAGAGCCTGGTGCACGAGACACTGAGCCAAACTTGTGCATACAAGATAAAAATGAAATGAAACTAAAAACCTTTCAGGACTTTAGGGGCTTTGTTAAACTTATTGATAATCACTCGTCTACATGACTTTACAATAAGGGCTTTCAGAGATTACATTTATCAGACACATGACCACATAATGCCGCTGTGCATAGAGGTAAATTAACGGTGCAGAGATGATCGCTGCAACCCACAACAAACCTGAACTTCTGAACCTCTTAACACAGCATCATGAGTTCATCGCATCCACCCTCTCTTCTCCTCTGACACCGTTGCTGTTCCCACAGCCTGTGTTCGGTGACAGCTCCAGACTCAAACCACAGTACAGTGCTGACAAACACTCGCCATCTCTCACTTGAGTCATCATTTCTTTACACAGAACATTAATATTGAGATTAACAATAATATTTTCACACCTGCTCCATCACAGGCTTGTATGGCTTTTTGTAAAACATGAAATTGCTCTATCACTTGCTAATCCACTTCAGCCAAGACTCGTGTCACTGACAGCGGTGACGAAGAGGAGAGGTGGTGGGTGAAGTGTGGGACGGGGGGGGAAAGGAGGCATCCGTCCACTCAACCTTTTCATGGCTCTTGATGACTGCTGTTGCATTCGTGATTCCTTCAAATCAGTGGAGGTGGAAACCAAATCCAGACATAAAGGAGAGGTGTCATCATCACGACAATCGTCTGACAAACACATCGTTTTGACCAGTTAGCATAAACACTGCTTATTCTCTACCTGTGTGTGATTTTTACAACAGCATTTACACTTCAACGTTTTTGGAGAGTTTCTGTGGCCTGTAGATACATGTTGAGCTCAGATCAAAGGCTCCTCTCACAAATGAAAGGCAGCTGGTTTGCAGTATTCACATTTATAATGACACATATTTTATACTATTTTCTTCCTGAAATATCTGCATTTCAGGTATGAAAATACCTGAAAAATGTATTTTGCCACAATCATCATCAGCACTGTGTCCAACTTGATTGACACAACAGACCAACAGAACGTTTGATCAGAACTCAGTGGACACACAACAATTCCAAACAATCTCAACTTCAAGTAATTGCTTTAAATTCTTAAGGTGAACAATAGTGCAAATATGCCAAACAAATAGTAAAAATAAATAAATAACATGATTCGTGCTGCTTATTCAGTTCAGTTGGTGGCTATTTTGGCAGGTTTGTATCCAGGTGTTTTTTTTTTTAACGATCCACAGTTGGCTCAAGGGTCTCTGACAGTTGGACAAGTTTTCTTTTTCCAGATGCGGATCATTCACTTAAAATTCAAATTCTGCACAAGAGCAGCAAGTCAACATGTCACTTTCATCAAAGTCTTCTCAAAACACACATTCACACAAAGAGAACATCCTGATCCCAAATGTGAGCCCAAACCCAGATACCTTATTAATATATCACATAGTGAGTCTCATGTACCATGTGGTACTGTGTCTAGAAATTCTTTGAATGGAGCTGCAGTGACTGACTCTTGCACAGTGGACTTAAAATACACACGACCAGAGTGACGGTTAAACTACACCACAGGAGCATTAAAGTTAGCAGAAATATACAGCGCATGGACTGAGCACGACTCACTTCATTCAGTGTCAAGTGTCACACTGAGCCAGTGAGTATCTTCAAACAGACGTCTGATCGTTACATGACTTCCTGTTCGACCTGATCGGTTGACAATGTTTTCTGTTTGCTTCAGATGCAAGATTCAGGGTATGAGGATCATATGGCCTATGGCTGAGGACTGGCAAAATTCCACCCTAAAACATAATTTCCCTGTTGTTTTCAGTATTGTCTCCCACAGACTAAAGCCTGTGGAAAATCACCTCCCACTGCTCCCTGTGGCTCCGCCCTATACAGGCAGTCAGCTCACCTGAACAAACTCACCTGGCTGGTCTCATGGTGGAGGCCCCATCCTTCAAAGTTTGGACTGTGTACATGAAAATGTAAGTTTTTGCCTTGTTTGGTGATTTAACAGTGAACACATTTGGTTTATATCCTGGGACATTGTGTTGATGTTTCAGTAATGGTTGATTTCATATACTTAAAGGTTCAGTGTGTAAGATTTAGGTGAATGGGATCTACTGGCAGAAACTGCATATAAAATAATCCTGGTGATGTTTTCACTAACGTGTTTCATCTAAATTGTACAAATGTTACTTTTCTTTACCCTAGAATGGGCCCTTTGTATTAGAATACTCAATATTTACATCGGGAGCGGGTCATCTTTACGGAGGCCGCCATGTTTTTTACATTAGTCCAGACTGGCCAAACTGAACACTGAGTTTTTAAGACAACTGCAGACTACCACAGGTTCTCTTTAGTGTTTGGAAGGAGAGGGTGAAGTGAGGGGTGTTCAGCTGCAACATGCAACTTCACCACTAGATGTCACTAGATCTACACACTGAACCTTTAAGTAATAGATTGTTCATAAGTGAAAGACAAATGTCTGACTGAAAATGTCTGAACTCGGCTTTAGTGAGCTGTAGTGCTGAACCAGATTAGCTGATTCTCTCTGCCTCCTGCCATTATGCTAAAGTAATCTAAAATTAATTTAGCTAAGCTTGTCACCAGCTGTTAGCTTGGGGGAGTGATATCGATCACTCTGTGCAAGAAAGCCAAAATACGCACATTTCCCCAAAATGTCAAAATACTATTTAATTGCATAAGGGAGTTTGATATATGTTGGCTCGGGTTTGACAGTTAAAACTCAGAGGGATGCTGTGCATGGAGAACATCACAGGAAAAAGCATCATGAGCTTTTGTTTTCTGGAGATGTGATAATATACTGTCAGTGCAGAACCACACAGAACTCAGTAACTGGGTGGAGCCACCAGCTCCCATTCATTAAGTTTTGATTATGTTGCAACATCTTTTTCAAAGAAAGAATATTAACGTGTCCCTCGGGGAAGTGAAATATAAAAGCAAAAGGAAGTGATTGTCTGCTTTCTGTCTTTCTATCAAATCATCATTTGGTCAATAAAATCAAACAACTGATTTCTATGGGTTATTCAATCCTAGATTGAATTAACTCATTATTTATCCTGATCTGCGCTGACATACAGTTTTAGTTTTTTGTCACAGCACCAACTCAGTCTTGACTATGTACTCAGAACAGCATTTAGTACAGAATTATAGTTTGCAAATGTGTCCAAAGTCCCACCAACTCTAACTCGACATGAAAGAGTTTCAGCACGTAACGTCCTATAAAATGAACTTGTTGAGGTTCAGGTTCCTCAAGTTGCGGAGGTCAGCCATGCCTTCATTCTTGCAGTCTGCATGCTAAGCAAAGCTAATGCCTGCTGGCTGCAGCTTCCTATGAACTCGCTACAGTTTATCAAGGGTAGTTCATCACTACTCAGGCTTTAGCCCTGAATGAGAAACTCACTTAAACAAGACCAAATGAATGACCTTGTGAGGATTTCTGAGTTCGGAAAAATGGCTGTGGTACTTGGCAGCCTTACTGTGTTCATTGTGTTTCTATAAATCCACTTGAGCTCTTTGTCTACACTATTGTTCTTTGACAGTTGATAAACTTCATTTTATCAATCTGGACGATGTTAAGACTCAAGAGACAACCCAAAACATTCTGGAAACGTGTGGATTCTGAATTAGGGTGGATTTTCCATAACCTCTTCCTCACAGCTCGTCTACTGCAGACAAGAAAACCATTTGGTTACACATGTGCACATACATACATCATGTACACACACATACCACATTTCATGTTCTCACTCATCTACACATGATCATTTTAACATGCCAAATGTGAGCCAGATTAGTAGTTTGGCAGATCAGTGGATCTTTTTCCCTGCACTTAAAAACAAAACAATCAGCGTCAAACATCAAAGCACTAATCATTCATTTCAGTGAACTCATTCAGTTTTGCACAAGTCAGTAGTGTTAGCAGACATATTGTTAGCAACAGCAGGAACAAGTGGGAAAGACAATAAGGAGTAGGACCACACACAGCAGGTTACAGGTCAGAGGTCTAAGTCATGAATGCATGTTTCTTGCTCCTGGTGCATTCCTCAGCTTTAACCCTTGATATGAAGTGGAACTTTCTCTTCCTCTCCTCACATGTATTTTGCATCAAGCTAAGGACCTAGACCCATACAGGAGAGGCTACATTTAAGGACCATAGAAGTGCTGAAAGTTTTCTCCACTCATATCTGGGATCCACCCAAATCTCCCCCGCCTGCGGGGTAATGCCTCAATCCACCTCCCCTGCGCAGCGAGTGCAGTGCCACAGTGCAACAGCCTCGCAGCAGGGACCCTATATGATACATGGGCTGTCCGTCACGGACTGGACCGCGGCACAGCCACGCCACTGTTGGCACCACGGGGATGGCCACTGCTAGCAGATCAACTAGGAAGTGACGACTCCAGTAGCTTTTCTGAATTGTCCCGGTGTCAGACGATTGTTCCTCCTCTGCTGCAGCGCCCTCTGCTGGGCCTTGTTCTTTAGTTTCATCTTCGTCTTCATCCTCATCGTTCACCTCCACAACAGTGATGCCAGCTATCTCCTCATGGGAAGCTGTTCTCCTCGGCTGGGAGGTATGTGGCGTCTCTATGCCTGCAGATAATTCTGACTGACTTGAACTCAACTGTCCGGCCTCGACTTGAGTTGATCCTGCTGATAGAGCAACTTCTTCCACTGTGAGGTTTTTCTGTGTTGTTCTATTCTGCCTGCTCTCTCCACAACATCCTGCAAATTTAAGCTCACCTTGCATCCCTGATGATGTTTCTGATAAGTCACACAGTTTTTCTGCTTCAGCCTCCTCCACTGCACCTTGACTTTCCACCTCAGTTCTTCCTACTGCGCCCTGCCTCTGCTGCACATCATCCTCCAGCTTGATCACTATTGTGTCATTATGCATTTCTGTTTCATCAACTTCCTTCTCTCTCTTTTCCATCTCCTGCTTTTCCTCTTCCTCCTCTCCCTCCTTCCCCCCACATATAGGTCTCTCCAGTGTGAATGCTACAGTAGCAGACCGTGGTAAAGGAGGGACCAATGGTGTTTTGGAGGCTGGGATTGGCTCTGTTGCTGTACTCATTATAGTCGCTGTGGTCACTGAAGTTGTGGTGGTGATGGAGTCCAGGTCCTCCTCTCCTTCATCAGACATCCAGGTGGAGGTAGGACTGCAGGCCTGAGAGCGAAAAGTGCGTTTCTCTGCAATGGTATCTAGATCAGAGGGGTAACCTGCTGTAGGTATGGGGCAACTTTCAGTCTGAATGCCCATTTCTCGAAGGGGATGCAGGTACAGGTGGTGGTGGGACAGGCAGGGGTGGCTCATACAGCCCACTCCCCCCAGGCCACAACGAAAGGGCATAATCCGTTCGCTTGGGCACAGCTTCTCATAGGTGGAGGAGTGTGGCATAGTGTGGGGAACAGAGTGGGACAAATTGCGAGGGAAAGAATGAGGTAAGGTATGGGAGAAGGTGTGAGGCAGAGAGTTGGGCAGAGAGTTGGGCAGAGAGTTGGGCAAAGAGTTAGGCAAAGAGTTGGGCAGAGATTTGGGAATATAGTTGGGCAAAGACTGGGAGAAGGCTTGTGAGTAGGAGTTGAGTAGTGATGCTGTTTCCTCAGAGAGGAACGCAGCCTCCAGCAGCAAATCGGCCCGGCTGGGAATGCTGCTCTCCCCACAGCACACAAAGCCACTGTCCTGGGTGCCGTCACCTGACAGACAAGGGAAGTCGTGTCCATTGCCGTTCTGGTCTGCCTGATCAGTGAGCTTAGTGTAGGTGGAGCTCCGGGTCAGAGAACGTGCTGGGGAACCATCGCAGGAGCAAGACCCCCTGCCTCCTGCTGCAGTTCTGGGTATTCCCCCTGGACTCTCCCCAGACACTGATGCTGGTGCCGAACCTCCAACACGGGTTCGACAGCCTGGGAAGACCTCCCCCTCTTTGGCTAATCCAGCCTGGGCTAACTCCATATTGAGCAAAAGGTTCTCGAGCTTGTGATTCTGAGTGTTAATGTCCTGGAAGTACTTCTGGACACCTATGTCCCCACTGGATCCCCCTGCATCACTGAGCCTCAACCGGACAGTGTCCACAGCCTGTTTGAGCTGCTGGATCTCCTGACGCGCCTCCTTCAGGGCCAGCTGGGCCTCTACACGGTGACACTCCTCCTCAACCCAGTCCTCCTGCATCCTGTAAAGCTGCCCTCGCAGCGAATCTATCTCTGTGTCCCTATGGGGATGAAAAAGCACATGATAAAAGTAAGCGTGAATACAAATGAGGAGGAAGGATAGAGATTTTAGTAAGGGAAACCCTGACTAATTAAACAGACTTTCTGATCAAATTTGATGATTTCTACTCCCCTCTCAGTATCTCACCTGTCTTGCAGTGTGGTCATGGTTTCCTTTAGCCTGGCCCGCAGGTGTCGGATACACACCTCCTTCTGCTGTAGGGGTGTGAGGTACTGCTCTGGTGGAGGTGGCCGAATACCATGGTTGTCTGTACATGAAGTGTACTTCTGGTGACGTCTAGGACACACAGGGCAGGTAAATCAAGAGAATGATGGTGTTTCTGGGTTGAGCTCATGATTAAAAGCATCAGGTTTAAGGGACTGATATAAGGACTATAATCGTGAGCAATTTGGTTTTGATCTTCACCTGCTTCTGATGGACATACCAGACTCTTTAGGGGTCAAATGCTGCTCAATAGCTGGCTTTTGTGCTGGTCCAGCAGTTTACAGAGATTTGTTTTTATAACTTTGTTGCTTCCTATCATTAAAAACTACTGTTGAGATAACAAACCAAAACAAAGAGTAAAAAGACACTACAAGTCTGTATAGAATAAAGAAGAGCTGCAGAAAGTAGAGATAATTGTTTTTCACTATTTTGACCAAATACAAAGGTGTTTGATTTACTTTTATATAATACTTTTGCTTGTGTGATATAATCACTAAAAAGCAGAGGAAGATGAAGGTGTAGAATTAGAGCATGATTCCAGGCTTGTGAATTGCTGCCCACACCATTTTGAGTGATTCTGATCATTTTGTGACAATGATAGAACAGTTCAGTCTGATCATCGGGCTAATTAAACAGCAAGGGAATGGAAATACAGTATGTTCACTTTTGGATTGAAATGCATAGAATTGATCATGTTGGGAGTTAATTAGACAAGAGAACTGAGTTAGGAAAGCTTATCATGTGTTTTACTGAGCAGGCCATTCAGTGTGTGATGCCTCACCCTTTGGTGGGGCTGCAGTCGCTGCCTTTACAAGAGCCTGAGTTGCTGCTGCTGCTGAAGGAGGCGTTGCCATAGGGATCTCTATTACTGGGTGTCGCCGGAGTCCGTCTGGTTCAAAGTAAGAGGAGACGTGTTAATCTCATGGATCACACCCCTCTTCCCCTCTCCCATATTAGTTCAGGATTGAGTCATACTACCTTATTCAGTGTAAACATTCAGTCTGTTTTATTCTGTAGCTGGTGCATAATGTGATCACTAGGGTTTCTCAATTTACTTATTTCCTACAAGTCCCAAGTTTTCCAAAATAAGATATCTTTCATACTAGTCAGCTCCCTAAAATGCTAGCTAAAGTGAAGTGTTAAAATAGTGAAAGAGTTGTGTTTATTGTCAAAGGTGAAGATGCTGTAAGAAAAACAGTAAAAGATCTGTTTCGATACTTCGTCAGCTTGAGAATGGTAGTTTGCTTCTGAATAGACACTGAGGTGACAGTGAACTCTGTGATCTGTTGAGCAAAACCACACTATTCGAATACAAAAAATATGAGTAGACATGAATGAAGCAAACTTTTGTCCAAGTCCACTAACATGCAAGTACAACACAAAAATGCACAAATACACACAGACACTTTACAAACACCACTGATGGAAAGTTCTGCCAGAGACACACATACACACTCCTTTGTGCACTTGTGGTGATTCTACAGTTGGTTTCAAAAAGACAATGTGCTCTGCAAAGATGGAAACCAAACAAATTACCCACACAATGACATAACTACAAGAAGCATTCATCAAAAGAAACAAATCACTAGAGAGTATGAAAAACAGAAGAGTATAGCAACAAACTGAAAGGAAGAAGGAAGAGTAACAGGTCAGAGTGGACATGATGCTGAGGAAACGATTCTGTTTTCCACAATGTAACATCATGGAACATTCCCAACAGTCAAACAGTCTCATCATTCACATGCTTCAGGGGATCAACACTGATCTGAAGGAAACAGGAGGGACTCAGGACAGACCGAGAACGAGGGGTGGAGGGAGAGTTTGCGGAACGGTTGTGGCGGTCCGGAGACTTGGTGGAGGTGTATCCTTTACTTGGTGACTTGGTCGATGGATAGCCTTTAGTCGGACGCATTGAGACCATATAGCCTGTCTCCATGGGAACGTAGTCTAGCTCTATGAACCTGCAGTAGTCAAACCTTACCAAGCAGAAACAACAGCATGTTAAATCACAGAGGAAGACCAAACCATGCATGCTACAAAAGGTGCACACTGCCCTACAAAGGTGAGACAAAGTTGTCCAGCATGTGGCATGTTATAACATTAACCTGATTCATTCAGAGTCTGAGCTACCAGCAGCGCAGATGCCAAATATCAACAAGCACTCAAACACTGAAGTGGCCCAAGAGAGCTGGCTCCCTGAAAGCTTTACAAGAGGAAAGACACAGTGCTTTTTTTATCGCCGAGGTTTCTCTCTTGCATCCCATAAAAAAAAAAAAACATCTACACAAGGTCATTTGCAATTACTGGCACAGAACACAAACTAACATTGAATCCTGAAATATCATTCACAAGAAGTCTGTGATTGGAGGAGCTTTTAATTCTAAGAGCCTCATCGTGCACAGCATCTGACTTCCAACAAGCTTCCACACAAATGTTTCTTTACACAGAACATAATCATTTACTAATGCACACCAAATCATTTTCTATTGCTTGTTAATATCTGTATAGACACAGCCAGCTGTGAAGTGATCAGTCTTTCTCTCCACACACCACCTGAAAAGATATCACCCTTCTTCTTCTACAGAATAAATACTGCTGAATAGATCTATAATGTAGTTGTTCTCAGCTCCTCCCCAGCCCATAATATGGACAGCCTCTCCTGCTCTTATGGTTGTCCCTTATGGTTGTATTCACTTCTGATCTGAGAATAAGATGCAGGATCTATTAGAAAAGCTAGATTCAGGAGGCTTGCCTAACGTAGCATAAAAACTGGAAGCAGCTGATGTACTCCACAATGAGGTTGCTAGGCAACTACAGAGTAAACTCCAGGAGTCTGCGATAAATATGGTGAATGAACACTTTAGAACTGAAGCTAGTGGGGAATATTGTGAAAATGGATGAATATGGAGCTTGAGTCTTTTTGTGAGCCGCCAAAATAATTCAAACAAGGCTACATTCATATAACTACATTTTAATTTGAAAATCAACTGCTAAGGATACGCCTGTCACCTGCACTACTCTGGAGTTTTAGAGATTGCTAAGAAGACAGAGAAGTTTGTAGACACTGCTGACCCTGTTTTAGTTTTAAAACTTCTGGGCAGCATTCTAGTCTGGATGGGTAGAAACAGAGGTGTTTGCAAATGAAGTAGAGCCTCCCAACCAATTCCTGATTGGGTCTTTTATGACGTAACCTTCACTGATTCGTCAGGGTCCTATTTTCTTTGGCTACCAGTGTAAAATGCAACATGGATAATCCAATACAAACAACCCTGTCTTTGCTGGCAGATGTTGCACAGATTCTGCATTTTACAATGACACAACTGTTATGTGTAGAAGACGAGCTTTTATTCGAGCAATTTTGTAACTAACAAACAAATGCTTCAGGTTTAATCCAGCACATGCATACCCAGCGTACATGAGTGGTCTCATGATTTACATTTTCAGGCATGTTGGTATGGACTGATACAGAGCCAAAATGCTTGTGTGGAGATTGTAAACGTATAGTATGAATGTAGCCATAGTTGAAAATCTTGGAGCTACAATGATTCCAGTTTGTTTTATTACATGGAAAGCAATTTACTGTTTTTGGAAAGGTTGATGTAAGAAATGTTAAATGAGCGATTACAGAGTTACGTCAGGAACTTATCTCTGTTGACCTCATGCTACCAACAGGCAGGTGGAGTTTAGGCTAGCAGTTTCCCCCTGCTTGCAGTATTTGTGCTAAGCTAAGCTTAACACCTGCTGGTTCTAGCTTCATGCTTGATGTTCATTGACACTTATATTGATCTACTCATCTAATTCTTGGCAAGACAAACAAATTACGGCCACACTATTCATTTAAACTATTTGATGCTAAACAATGCACACATTCACAATGTCGAAAAATATTAACTAACCACACACTTCAACCAATGATACTCTCCTGTTAAAGTTGTTGGGCATCACAGTACAGTTACATAAGTGGTAGCCAGTACAGGGAAGGGTGATCTGTGATGGGCAACTTCTGTCAGGACATTACTTGCTGACCATATAAATTATCATCATGTTTTAATAATCAGTGACACTGCAAGACACATAGTGAATGTTAATGATCTGTTACATGACTGTTGCCCAATCACTGGCCTCCATAGAGGGAGGGACAAGCAGGCCAATCAGCAGCCATGGGTGATTTGCACACAGGACACGATAACTCAGCAAAAGAGCAAAACATGGAAACACACAATCATATGTTTGAGGCACTAACACAATTAACAATTCACATTGCGGCCATTTTCCTCTGATACCATGCACGGCGTGGGAAGCTCAGATGTTGTACTGCTGCAAGTCATTTAAACAGAGAATCTGACAAACTATTCTCATTTCACTGCCCCTAGTGGATCAGGAACTGAAAAGACAATGGATAGTTGAAATTCTCAAGGTTATATGTTTCAAGGATAATCAACATATAGCTCTAGCTTCCATGAAAAAACAGCTAACAATAGCCTTCAACCACTTCTTTGCTGACATCACTGTTCAATACCATAACGCGATACAATGAGAAAGACTTTTTAATCCTGAAATTCATATCGCTGCACTTCTGGGACTGAAGCCTGGAAGAAAAAAACACAGGAATCTAGCTTGAAATCGAATGCTAAATGCTGGAGCCACGACATAGTTTTTGTTTGATTTATTTGATATGTATGCAGTACTCTGGTGACAATATGTGATTTATTATCTGAACACTGGGTGGAGCATTACCAGCTGAAGAGCATGTTGCTAAACTTTACGTGAGGCCTGTGTGAACAATCTGCGTCGGTGTCACATACATTGTGTTTAACTGAATTTGCTAACGGAAACTGGTTGAATAGAAATATAGACTGTTTACCTGTGTTAATGTGAATATAATAATGATAATGATGAACAACATTGACAGTGTTGTGAAATGTCCCTGGAAAACAATACAATGATCAATCTGATGCTAAAGTGGTTGAAACTAACATTTGTGTTAATGTAAACTGTATACTATATATCTGAGGTCAGGTGAAAAGACTCAATAGTTAAAGTTACATTGCTACCTTGATTACATCCAGTCCATTTTACTTGAAGATGTGCATAGTAGTTTAAATATGTAGTTTACCCTTAAAACATGGTCCCATGTCCCTTTTATTTTATTTTATTGTGCATTCAGTTACTGAGCAGTTATGGACCTATGAAATTAAAACAGTTTGTCAGATTCTCTGTGTTTATAGGACTTGTAAACCTGGAACACAGCAGCAGATTCTGTTCATAACAGCATTTGAGCTTGAGCACAGGAAAATGGCCACCGTGTGAATAAGGTCTATGATTTGGGGTTCTGACCTATTTGTGACTTCATATCATCTAATTTTACACAATAAATCAAATTTACTTGGGCTACACCAACTTTCCCAAGTATCTTGCAAGAGTTGTGCTGAGAGAACGTGTCCTGTGTGTGGGAGGAGGCCAGATATTGACTACTCTGTATCTCTTTGGAGATCAATATGTGACAAGAAGCCAAGACATCAACAGATCAGAGAGAGGCCGGGAGAAGCAGCTGAAGCGGTGAGCCTGGGGGAGAACAGAATAAACAGCACAACAGTGTTTGAGGTGTGACACTCTATCCCATCCGTCTGGTGGACGCAGTGGTTGGCTGTAAACTGTAGGTGCCTCCCAAGAGTCAGGTGTTGATAAGTGTGAGTTGGTGAAGTGCAGAGATATTCCTTTACGCTGTGGTTTGTTTCCAGTAAGACAGAGACTTTGCTCAAGAAGTATCCCAGATACAAAATTTAATAGTTCCAAGAGCACATTCTCATTTCAGGCAACGTCTGTGTCTCACCAGCCATCTGCTGTGGAACTGGTTTGTGTTTGTAAAAGAAAGTGGTGCTGTTGATTGAGCGGCTGCAGTGAACACATTATGCTGCCACAGCAAAACAGCAGTGCTATTTCTAATGTGCATGTAGCCGCTAAAAACGTCATGCTTTGAAAGAATACCCTAAATCAACCCTCCAATTTTAGTGTTCGAATTTGGTGACACTTTTGTCCTGCGGACTCGGGGGCAGTGTTACACAGCACAGAAGAATGCTGTTTAACGGTCTGAGCTGAATATTAACACTAAGTTCTGTTGTGTTCATGTTACATACAATGGAACTTTGACCTAACTTCAAACCCTGGAGGGTATTTAAACTCAGACGGTAGTTCAGCTGTTCAATAAACCTCACCCCCAAGTCACAGTCACGTAGTGAGCGTACCTTGGTGCATGGCAGGCCTGTCAAGCTTTAGATTCACATGAAGCTGCAGTGAGAGAGCTACTCTGCATTAAGAGGGTGCGGAAGACTTTTTTTTCTTTTAGACTAAAAGTACAAATTTAGTGTAAAAGTGATATAGAATTAATTAAACAGTGTTTATCTATGTGAGGGCTAACACTTTTTATTCAAACATTCATTCAAAAGTGTGTGTGTGTGGGGGGGGGCGCATCAATAGTAGTGTGCTCCAATCCAAGATTTATTTCCATGTCTTATCTCTCAGTGTGTAATAACGTGAATGTTTAAGACCCTTTTACATTATTTTTGTTTCAAAAGAATTAGACACATTAAAAAGTCATCTATAAACAGTCTTTTCATGTAGCTAATATTAACTTAACTGACAGAGTCATCTAGAAATAAGAACCTTTTTTTGTATCTACTTCTGTCTCAAATCAAGAACCCACCGTTTCAAAAGCACTCTGAATTTCAGGTTGACAACCTATCACCATCATCATTATATGGTGCAGATGTGCAGTGCTAAGATGGAAAGCTTGACAGGTGCACTAAGTAAAGGAGGTTGGGCTTCATTAGTCAATTAGAAAATAGAGGGACATCTATGTCTAGGACAGACAGGCAGCATGAACGTTGTCCGTGTGCTGTTGTTGGCCTTGTTTTAGTGGCTACATTGCATGCCGGAGCTACAGCTACGGAGCATGCTCTCTGAGACTGTAACTATAAGTGTGTCTCACGAAGGAGGCGGGGGCACAGGAATGGCCACTGGTGCCGTAGCCGCTGGTGCAGTCGCCCCCGACCCTGTCGCCGGCTTGGGCACCGGCGAGGGCGAGGACGCCAGTATTTGCTGCAAGCGCCGTTTGGGCTGCAGAACCTTCAGAGGGTTGAATCTGAGGAGGAGAGACGAGAGAGAGGAGGACACCACAGCTACAGAGTGAGCCGTTGATGGCTGAACATCGTCATGGCAATAAAACCACTATTACCATAACAAATATACATCTTAGCCCTATTGTTTAAAGGGAATGTATCTGCCTGTAATCCACAGATAACACCTTACACCTTACAACACCTGAATGAGAACAGTGATAAAAACACTTACAATTGCTTGACAAACTTTATTATAGGTGGAGTTTTGGCAATATGTGAGAATTTCTTAGGTTGTGATTATATAGCTCTTGAGCCAATGATGCCAAACTGAATGATAAGATATCTATTATCATTGAAAATATCAAGCATAAGGGCACGTCCACACATATGTGAATGTGAAGTGAATATCACAGGTCAAAGCTGATGATTTCCCTCACCATAGGAAGTGAATGTTTTATATGCCTCCTTGCTCTCACGGGTTGGAAGTTAAGGGAAGCAAAGTTTCACCACTGATACGTTCACGTATGTGTGACCGGGCCCTAACATAAACATGCTCTATACAATGTTACTGGAGCATCTGTGTTGCAAAGACAGAATAGTGACGTCCGAGCCTACATGACCTAATGGATGGAGAAGTCATTACTGTTTCCTACAGACCATAAAATCTCAATAATGTATTCTCATCCTTTAACCCATGTCCAGTGAACCGGCCAAGGAAGTCCAGTAGCTGTGGGAGAAAATACATCAACATACATACTTGATGAACTGCATTCAGGTTGCAGTAAACTTGGTGCTCATTGGTCAGCGTGTAGGAGGTAGCTGAGTGCCTCTAATTTATATCAAGCCCACCTCATTGTCAAATATATCAGAGCAGTTCCAGCAGCAGCATCAGATGAGCAAACTGAAAAAAATAAACCCTGCAGACACGACATGACTGCAAAGGAAGACAGAGTGAGAGAGAGGAGCTGTTTCTTTAGACATGAATTTGGGAGGAGGTGTGGAGAATTGGGTCAAGACTTTCTCCAGAGTTTGTCTTTCACACATGAACAACACAGCCGGAGATTCTCCGCTCAGCCGTGTTCAAAACAACAGATATATCTGGAATGTTCAGGCCAGGGGTGGGGCAGAGGCAGGATGTAACAAATTCATTCTACTGTGGAGATCACACACAAAACAAGCTGGTCATCAAGGACCGTAAAATCTGTGAGTTCGACATTGACTGATCGTTTTAGACCAAAAAGATCAAAATCTGTGAAATTGGATAACAACTTGAACCCATCCTTTTACCTTGTTTTTCATCTCAGCTGTATTATTTAACCCATGGCTTTGTCTGGAGGACCATGTGTATGTTGATGCATGCAGTGCACACAATCGCAGTTTATATCCTAATTTTTTAACCACTTTTTTCCATGAACCCGTCGTAAATACATCACAGAATAACAAACATAAAAATTAGGCAACAAATTATTCACATTAAACATGTTAATCTCTCTGGGATTATACTTTTTTAGGAAATATGAGGGTTAGGGCTAGAAGATGGAAAAGAAGGGCTCCTCATTGGCCACCTACCGGCGAGAGCCCGACCCAGACCTCCGATTGGCTGGAGCAGGTGCAGACATGTGGTCAGAAAACACAACCTTATGTTTCTTCTGTGGTCCTCACGCTCTCTCTTTCTCTGTTCCTCAGTTGAGCGGTTATGGCCTGGAGCCTGCAGGAGGAAACAGATACGGTAAGTGACCACACCCACCCAGTACAAAAAGTGGCCCATTTATAAAAGTAATCATAATCTATATAATATAAGTTTAAGTTATACATTGTTTTTAACCTCTTGAAGCCAATTTAGTAGGCAGTGGACACAGATAATAATTAGATATTGTGCTATTTGTTTCTAAAGATTTGGCGACAGCTGCATGATTTCATATATAATACTTACTCTAAAAGTGTACTCATTTGTTTCAAACTAAATCAGGTTGGTTTACAGTTCACCAAAATATGTGCCCCTTCAAATAAAGATTTTTATTGTGCTTCTGTTGATTTCCTTGCATTACGTGTGGTGTAGGTAAGACTAGGCCTGAAGAGAGGAAGCAGAGGAACATAACATGGACACTTTATCATGCTCCGAATGGCAAAGTGTGATTTGGTGTTGTCCTTAAGACAATTCACCAGCAGCTTGTGTCAGCCATTCCCAATGTCAAGTGTGAAAGCAACATGTACGTGTGAGTGTTGCGTAAGAAGTGAAGTGCCACTCGCAATGAACTGTGAAGTGACAACTTCATTGGTCAGCATTGTACCAGGTATTCTATTGGTTGGGGGATTTTTACAAAGTGAAGAGATGAACTCAAAGCATAGCACAGGACATTTGTGCAGTGAAAGTTTATCTGAGTGAACAGTTCTGAGCAGGAGCACATTTGTATGTGAGCAGGGAATATTTGAGACATGTACGCACACAGGGCTCCACACATACAAAAGTCCTCCTGCAGTGGCCGCAGGTTCTGTTCCAACTGGGCCCTTTGCTGTGTGTGTTCCCTGCTCTCTCTCCTCATCTTACACTTACTGTTCTCTGAATAAATATGACATTCCAAAATACCTCTCACACACGCACACGCATTTAGGGCATTTAGCAGACACTTATTGTAAGCGACTTACAATAAGTACATTTGTCACAGGAGAGAAGCCACAACATATCACCGTCGATGGGGTCAAACGAAATACAGAAACAATTGTCAAGCCCTCATCTGAGGATCGTAACTGCTATTTGTGAATACACGCACACATACACACACACTGCTGAGTCAAGCTGATGCTTGCAAAGATCATCACCATTCAGCAGCCAATCACCTTCCAGCCGTGTGGAAGAAGTAGCCAATCATTGCTCATCTGTCTCATCTCAGGTAAAGCTCTGGTGCAGGCAGCAGGACAAGTGAGCAAAGGGAACCTGCATCTGTATGTGTGTGTGTGTGTGTGTGTGTGTGTGGACTGCTAGTGTGTTTAGTGTGTTTGTTGAAGGTGTGAGACCTTATGCAAGAGCTCCCATCTACCTCTTAACTATTCATATAGCATGTTGATTATACAGAAGTATGACAGATCACAGAATCCAATGTGCATTTTATTGTATTGTCATAATAACACAAAACCTTTGTGCATATTAACCTGGCATGTATAGGCCTGTATTGTCAATGTGGATCATTTGGTAAAGTCATGAAACTACGTCAAATTTTGGGGGGACCCCTCCTTATGAGGGTGCAACTCCCATTTCACATCTCCCCTTTTTCGTGTTTACTCAGGGGGAGAGGGGCTCCACATATGTAGAAATTGACCAGGATTACATTTTTTGCTAGATTTGTCCAAATTAACAGAGATCGCCTTCAAAGAGATTCATGGTCCAACCTTACCATCAAATAAACACAACGCAGATGTCGCTAGACTTCACAGGCACATTTGCACAAACACAAGCATGCACAGACAGTGTTTAAGGATGGATAAATGCCTTTCTTCCATTCTCATTAACATGTCATCGTTACGCTCATCACCTTGCACAGCTCATAAGGCAGCTGGAAAGGCCAAATGCAAAAATGTGTGAGCAACTGCACAGCTCTGTTGTATGTTGATCCAAAATAAATAAAAAATAAAACCCTGCCGGCATCAGTTGTCAGAAGGAGAGCAAGACTGAGAATCAGAGATGGAAAGAAAAAGAGAGGAAACCAGGAGTGCATCAATAATACATCATAAACTACATAGTGTGCTCCTCAGGGCTGCGTTTGTGTGTGAGGGGGCAGGTGGTTGGATGGAAGGCACCGGCTCTAACAGCTGGGTGTTCTCTCTGCCGACAATCAACTCCCTCCTTGTTTCAGTTGTTGCCCATTTTACTGCTTTGTCGGTCTTTAAGTACGTTTGGACAGGGACCAAATCCTTTGACTGTCTCACATGAAACACTGTACCCCAGGAATCATTTTCTCCAATTTAGAGACGTGCACCCACATGAACATTCCAATAATAATAGCGACTCCTTCTCGCCTCAATGATGCGCCCCACTCATTCACAGCGCTTGTTGCAGGAATGCACAAGATTCCCATTGCAAGGTGCTGCTTATGTGGGAATGTTGTTGCTTCCAAAAAGAAAGAGAGTTGTCGCTACACCATCATTATCATACACCATCAAAAGTCCACCACCACCAACCTTCCAAACCTCACTCCAGCTCTTGTCAACCCTGGTTTCTGCCAGCAAACAGATTATTTCTTATTAAAATCTACTTTCAACTTTCAAATCTGCCTTACTATGATATTATGAGACCAACATCAGACTCATAGAGTCATTAGAAACACCTCAAGTATTCTGGAAGAAGGTATAGTTCAGAAACAATAGCCACCGCAGACTATTTTCATTATACAGACAGACGATCAATTCTCTGCACAGTCAACCACAAAAAAGATTCATTAATGGGTTATACTTTCATAGAGAGAAAAATTCCTGCAGTCTGCCAGCTTCAATGTTTACAGACAAACCAGTGAAATATATTAACACACACACACACACACAACCTACCTCCCTACTCTGTTACAACACCTCCACCCCAGATTTCTAACCAGAAAATAAGCACAGGCCTCTTGCAATCGTATGCACAGAGTAACAAACACACATAAACCCATGTGCACACGAACACACTTCAGGCCAGTTTAGGTGCTGCACATTTTGTGCTTCCATGTGTTTTCAACCTGGTTAGACCTGCAGTAAACAGAGATAATGCCTCCAGCCTGTTTTAATTGGCCTTTTCATTTGAATTGATTATGACTCTGTCTGTAATAAGGAGCTATAACAATCATCGTGAATCAAGGCAGTGTGACTAAAAACAGACTTTTCTCTATTTTCAATTTTCTTAATGAAATCTTACTCAGTTTAATGTGGGCCCACGAAGGCAGCTGCTCTCCATCTCTGGCTGCTGTCGCAACAGATCAAACCACATGACAGCACATCATACAGGATTTATTAAGTTATGTAACTCGGCCCTCAGCCACAGACGGCCTGACTGAGGGCCACACACACATACACAGCTGCTGTGCAGACACAACGACACGAATGGATGAGATTCACTGAGAGGGTGTGTGTGTGTGTGTGTGTGTTTGTGTGTAAAGAAGAAGGCAGGGAAGAGAGAGAGGAGCCAATGAGATGAAAGAAGGAGGAGGAGGTGGCACGTGTCGGAAACGTTTAAAAGACACACACACACACACACACACATACACTCACACAGGGCCATTGTTCCCTTGTGTCTGCAGCATAGATGCTGCGGTTTCTCTTATGAAAGACAGTGTGTCCTTGTCATGTAGGATCAAAGTGGCCTTGACTAATCTCAGTTCATACAAAACAGATAATATTGGTGCAGGTCTGTTTTCATGCATGAGAATACACAAATGCTGGTGGTGATGATGCTGACAGTGACACAAGTTGAACTGAGAGCACAGAATGTACAACAGAGAGTTAGTTCCCCTCGTCGTCCTGACTGAGCAGACTGCAGTGTCATCGAGTCGTGTGGAAGGGAGGAGCTGTGCATGTGTGTAAAAGGAAAGTGTGACTCACAGCAGCTCCGCTCTACAGTCCTTGATTTACCTGTGCAGTCCCAACTGGGATCTGGGACTGGAAGACAGCCGCGGGGTCTGCGACACTGATTCACTGCTGTTAGCAACAGAGACCCATTCAACAATGAGTGTGTGTTTGTGTTGTGTCGAGTCTTATCAGTGACAGGGATTTTTTTTTACCTCCTGTCTGTATTAACAGAGATCAACAATGTGCTAAGTCATGGTGCCCTGTCATCATGTCCTACAGGAGCTGACATTAGCTGTCACCACTCGCACACGACAGAGGAGCCATAGGACATGTGAGAAACAGTCACTGATAACAAACCCTATTAGCTGGGCTGTGAGGTCACATGGTGCATGATGTTATTATCTCTTAAAACACAATTTAAACTTTAGTTTATTTATAACTTTTGTTTAATTTCTCTATATATTACAGTTGTAGTCTCGTATGATTGCTCTGTCAACCAGTAGCTGGTGCTCCTCTGGTGTTATTACCGATCCCTTCCTGCCATGTGCCTGATCATGTATTGAGACATGTGCCTGATCATCTCGTTATTGCTGCTGTGGTGCCTGACAGAAGCTTCCATGTTGTATGAGACATTAGTAAACTGAGCTAGCAGTTGTTAAGATGTTGGGTTTTAAGATGCTGCATATATCCTCTCTCACTGGGGTTGCTTGTATAGTAACAGTATAGTAAATAAATACATTTAATTAAGTTATCTCATGCTACTTTATGATGTCACCAAACTTCATCTGTGGCTGTTTTAACTTAAAAACCTTGAGCAGCAGAAGTTTACATAATGTGCATTTAAATTAAAATGTCCTGTCACAACAACAAAACAAGTGTCATTCGTGACAGTGAGGAAGGTCTGTTCAATACCATTACTACATTTCCCAGCATGCAACTCAAGACTTGAGTTGTGCTTCACTAAAGGAGTTTCTTTTTCGTAACTGATTTTATTAGAAATTTGTCCGAAGACTAAGTAGTAAAATAATACTTTGTTTTGTAGTGAATTGAAATACAATGAAATGTTTGAAAACTGCAACTAGGCCTTTTGGTTTATTGTAAATTATGAAAACTGTTGAACCCAAAAACTACCCAATCTCTATTCTACTCTATATTTCCAACTCTGCATTT